ATATATATGCGATCGTATTTTCATATACACATGCCAAGTTTTATAAGTCAAGCATTTAAATGGATACCGTTGCCTGAAGCAGATATTGTATCATATATATATATATACATACATGCATTTATAATGCGCACTAGATCTTGATTGCAGATTAAAAAGATTGTTTGTAGTATCAACATGAATTCATAGTTAACTAAACATACTTTGAATGTACGCACAGCATTTTTTTTTTTTACGTTAGCCAGTGATTATTATCATCGATTTAGGCACTATCGAAAAAGTTCAGCTGACAATCATAAACATGAAAGTAGTTTTGAATTAGAAAACAACTACATCATTAGGTTAATAAACCGTCCGCACGCATATACTGCTCTACATTAAGATCAGACTTAGAAACGATGACCACCTACCTAATGTCGTTAATCTACCGGAAGACTTGGCCCCATAACCCTTGTAGAAGTTTTTGTTTCCTTGCTTTGGGTGTAAAGCTACCCTCCGGGTAGCTCCCCGAAACGATCCTACAGCAATGCCTAACATCTCACAGTTGCTAAAGGGTCTTGACTCGACTTTGCATAGACTGACACAACGATATGAGTGTGCTTAAAGAATACAAGTAACATATTTAACGATATTTATTTATGCCATAGAACAGCGCAACACGCAGTCATTATTGCAAACTTGACAGGCATACAGTTCGGTATTAGTTTTGAATAAAACCTTAACCTCAGACCCTATTTTTTCTGAAAAGAACACAATTTTTATTAAAAAAAGAAATGACCTGCAGCAATGCAGCCTCAGCGGCAAATGATGTATTTTTACAACACGTATTTTTAAAATGGTAACAAGCAGTCCAGCGCACCGTTCTTCCTATGTATATATGCAGACATAATGCGTATGGCATGTTCACACAACGCAATAGATATCTACGGACACGGCCATGCACCAATGCATGCGACAACTATATGAACGCGCACATTGGAAAAGTATAGTTTTTAACAGAAATTCTATTCCCGAGTACGACAATTCGACAGCAACATTTGGCGCGGAAAGAGGGACACAAACAAAAATTCATTATGGTGTAGCGTAACAATGAATTCTGCAGTTCCACTCTGCCTTCCAATTATAGTTTATTTTCTCCGCATGATGAATTAATTATAACTCTGGTGTCTCATTTAAACACGTGGTGAACCGAATAGTGCACAACTTCTATGACATCCTACAGATGATTAAATAAACTATAAAACGGCTTTATTACATTGTCGGTCCTATACCCGCGATGCATTGCGATCGAGCACATGCACTTGAGACGTACAAACGGATATAAATATATGGCTCACACAATCGTACGATAGTTATTTTTAATTCTCGGAGTGTATATACGTATACGTTTAAATTGTTGTGTTGTTTGTCTAGGTAAAATATGTCATCTAATTTCCCCGCTCTCCTACATATGTGCGGAATTTCATGGCACTCTACGAGCGTTATATACACTCGGCAATGCGCAAATCAACTGAACATTCAGCAATAGTACGACAATCTGTCCCTACGACAATCTGACAGATACATTTAGCCGATAAAAACAAGAGAGGGCTACATAGTGGTGTAGAGCAATGTGTAAACCCTTCAGTTCGACTTTTCCTGCAAAAAAAAAATTCAAGAACTTTTAAGCTTCGATTTGTCATTCGAACTAGGCGGTAAGACATATAGCTGATCAATATAAGCCAGTAAAATAGCTGTGTAATCCGTGGCAACAACTCACATGACTTCCGAACTGTTAATTCTGTGCGGAGTATGTACATACTACATCTGCGTTAACGTCAAAACCAAGTCTTCTCATTTCCGGGAACACATATTACGAACAATCAAATCAAGTGAATCACGGCACAACTACAGTCAACTCTTGGCAAACGAAATTGGAAATTTGTAGCTACTACAATGATTATTGTACATCAAGGCAAACACTTATCAATTTCGATGCTAGTGTGGAATATTGATATGTCGTACAAAATAGCAACGAATGCCACTTCACCCTGTATCAAACATTTCTAACTTCTCACTTCATCGATCGTGTATGCAAAGCGAATGAAGATAACTAAAGACCCGCATCACAATACAAACGTGATATATTATTTGTTCTGCCGATGTGTCCGCAGTCTACAACACACTCGATAGAATAGTGCCAACATCAAAACAAACAGTAGATCCGAAACGACTACTATACCAATAGCATCATCAGTCACTGCTGTGCTGGTGTGTATCTACATCGGTTTCATAAAAAGAACTGTTTGTGTTCCCCGTATCTGTTTCACAGCCATTGGAGAATGCAATATCTGTCTGATATGTGAGAGTTTGTAGCGCCGTTAAATAAAACGCGTCACTACAACAATAACTACATACGTGCGGATTCAGTTATTTATACTTTCACCAAGGAAAAACTAGGCGTTATCAATTTTAGCTATGTGCTTGCTGGATACCGCAACTCCGGTGCACACTACTTAACATCAACAGAATAACGGCTAAGCATATAAATAACTTGGACGTGTGCCGTATTGAATACGATCATAAAGAAAACTCGCTCGATCCCCACAAACAAGAAAAATGCCATATGTTTTTTCCCCTGCAGAACTATCACTTTGCACGGATTTACTGCCAGGATGTTTTCCCTGGTTTAGTGAATGCAAGGTGAGAGACGAAAAAAGAATACTTATATGGGAAAGTGCTACAATTTCATTCCTGCTTCAACTTGCAATAGAAGTAGAGCGTTGCACTGAATAATTGCACTAAATAATCGTACATATGCATAATGACGCAACCCTGTCCGGATCAGCCATAGAAAACATGATAGTGGAGAATAAAAGTTTGTTACTAGGTCGTCATGTGATTGTTGCACAACAGGCTTTTCTTCTTGCAAAGGATTGCCAGATGAAAATGAATGGGAATGGAACGACATACATGTTGTCTGTCCACGCATAACAAAACAACCCAGAAACCAAAATGGCCAGGTCGCTTCTGATCACGAGACTAAGATAGGTGGTCAGCAAATGTCAGTATATAAGCTCCAGATCGAGCGATACAATTGTAAAAGTCAGACTAACCAGGCTGACTTACGATTTCAAAGTAAATTTGCACAATATAATTAAGCTTAGCTTCAGCCCTAGGTAATGAGCTTAAGATTATGGGATTTTAGACTGAGACTATTGTCTATATGCTCCGCTCTAATCTCTCACTACTTCGGTCTAGAATTATTTGGTGTCAGTAACTAAGATCAGATTTCATTTCATTGGATGCACGATATTTCATTCTCTTTTCGTTTCATGCTTCGAAACTATCCTCCAGTCGCAATTACGAATAAATAACTCTAAGTCCAACTTAAGAAAATAATAAATCAAAAACACCATGTTGATGCAGCTAAATGTCTGCACTTATACCCCATCACATGATACCTAGCTCTCCATCCCATTGAAGGCATAAACGGGCAAACGATTTCTGATCGTACAGTACATTAAATGTGTACCGTACAGGTAGTCCTCAAAATGAGTGAGTGCAGTCACAATAGCCAATAACTCTTGTTGCCTTGTCGTGTAGTTAGCCAGCCAGATGTGCCAGTCTGATGAAGGCTAAGTCGGTAGTTCTTGATAGTGGCAAGTTATTGGTTAAGACAATACCTAAAGACTTCAAGAGTATTTTTTTTCTTCTTTTTTCTAAAGATAGGATTTTATGAGTCTCTCGGATTCGCCCCAAAATAGAGCGACAACGAAACACTAAATAAAATCCCTTCGGCGGAAACAGTACTGAGAGGATTATATATAGACAATGTCTCAGCCTCACAATCCCTTAGAGTATTTCTGTTTTCACGAGGCAAACCTAACTTTATTAAACGTCTTATTTCGTTCATTTATATCGATATTTACACGATATAGAATTTATCTACACGTTTATTTATTCTAAGGCATTAGTATCGCCTTATTAGACCGAATCTTGCACATTTTAAAGTTAGCAAAAGTATTAATTACTTAGACTAGTGGACTGAGTAGTTCTGAGACCTCTATTTCGGCGTCTGATATGGAATCGCCGGCATCAAAACGGCGCAGGGTTGTAGACGAATATGATAATTTTGATTCGATAATGGATAGGGATAATCGTGAACGTGGACATGACCGTGGTAACAAGCATCTCAGTAAGGGCCATGACGTGGCTAAAGGATAAACGCCCAACGGACATGCCGGTGCCGAAACATCACCACAGGAGCGCCGGGAAGGTGCTACCAAATCGACCCATTAATTTGGATGACTGATGATTCGCCCACCCACCGGAATCGCCGAGTGTTTTTCTAGAGACATTGGATATGAGGAGCGAGGCCTTGAGGGGACATGATGCAATGCATATTGTATTGCAGGCGACCATGATAGTAACGGCCATGACCATCGGATTACATCATGATAGAAACGTGGTACGGCCCGTGGCGAAAGATGCATGTTAGGAGGCACAGAAAATGGCGAAAAATATTATTTACTTATTGGAGCAAAATACCCCATTTTCGGTAGTGAAGGGTGAATTTGATTGGATGACAGAATCATATTGGGCGATGTACATGTCCCAGTATTGAATCTATTTATAGAAGCTGGGGGATTGGAGTGATTTTTTTTATGTTCAGAGTCCCCGATACCCGCGAACAGGAGTTCCATGTTATATATGAAACGTAAATGTGCGTGTCCAAGTTGGTCAAGGGTCTGGTATATATGGCCAATGTACTGAACTCGAAGGGGGAAGTCACGCCGAGTAGCTTTGTTCAGACACGCCGTATTCAGAGCGTGTATGATAAAGTTGCATTCCAGAAGGAGGCCCTTAAGGTGTTCAAGCTTGCGTGCGGTGACCCCGTATCCGTGTCCGAGATGCAGATACGGGGAATCGTGGCCGGACGACGCGTACGTTGTGAGCCCGTGGTGGAAAAGGTCAGCTCGGTGGGTCTCGAATCGGCCGATTTAAATCTGGACCATGTAGATGACAACGACCTAGCCCAACTCGGCGTCCATGATGACACTGAGGACGATGATATGGGGGATACGAATACATGGCACATATACATACACATGCCGGGAATGGGGAAGACCGGTTCATCTTTCTGCGCTTCAACGTGGCCAAGTTTACGGCCATTAACCGATCCATCATGTAATAAGCCGGGCCTCCACATTAGACTCTATGTATAAACGTACTCTTAAGCAGTACGCAAATTATAACGTACTCTTTATAGTACGAGGAACTTAAGTCTCCTAAATGTGCTCTTAATAGCACGAGGAACTTAAGTTTCCCAAAATGGGTTTTAATGGTTTTATTAATTAAACCTTTTCCCTTTAACATATCAGATATTTGGATAAGGCCATTAAAAGGCCTCAGTAAAATACCAAACATAAAAGAGTTGGTCTAGTTCTATTAATAGAGCTTTATTTACTTTCCAATTTTATTTATATCTGAATACTTCGGTAGCGAGATGGCTCAACCGAATATAGGTTTTTAGGGACTATTAACGTTACCTAGTTGATCCTCCGATAAGCCAGCCAGATGTGCCAGTCTGATGAAGGCTAAGTCGGTAGTTCTTGATAGTGGCAAGTTATTGGTTAAGACAATACCTAAAGACTTCAAGAGTATTTTTATTTTTATTTTTATTTCTTTTTTCTAAAGATTGCATTTTATGAGTCTCTCGGATTCGCCCCAGAATAGAGCGACAACGAAACACTAAATAAAATCCCTTCGGCGGAAACAGTACTGAGAGGATTATATATAGACAATGTCTCAGCCTCACAATCCCTTAGAGTATTGCTGTTTTCACGAGGCAAACCTAACTTTATTAAACGTCTCATTTCGGTTATTTATACCGATATTTACACGATATAGAATTTATCTACACGTTTATTTTTTCTAAGGCATTAGTATCGCCTTTATTAGACCGAATCTTACAATCACGACTAACATTGTGGCCAAGTACTTGGATCGTATGGTGCAGGAATTGGCTATACTGCGCACCAGGGACCCCGATTCGACCATCACGGAATTTGATCGCTTCAGGACCGTGCAGGTGATTAGTGAACCGAAGAATAATACAAGGCCCACGGTCCGTCTATTCGAGAACGTGGATCATGGGAAGGATGTCTTGGACGTTCCCCATTTTACTAACCGGCTCACCAAGGCGACTGCAAATATTTGGGATCTGTTTGGGATAAACAGATCAGTCATGTTACATTTGGCACATCTGGTCATCGTATTAGATCCCATGACCGAGCCTATTTTGTCCCTTATACCACGGCTACCACATATGGGAGGATTGGACGTTAGTGAAGTGCGGACGGATATATCGCAGTTTGATAGCATCATGAACAGGTACAAGCGCCAGGGAAAGCCGATTCCCAATACACCAAGCCTGTTAGATGCATGTCGTGATTCTTATCAGACTCTAACCGATTCCAAGACATATCCCAACCTCGTTGGTACCTGGAAACGATATGTCGATATGGGGCCAATGTACTATCTATGCCACGGCTGGATGAAGGACGTGGTCCATTTGAGACGTGCAGCGTGGCGATTTAAGCTTGTCTCCAATAAATTTTGGACAGAGGGCCGTGTTAAGCGACCGGACACGACCTCCTATAATCACAAGTGTCGTGGCCTGATACATGTCCTGGCACCCGATGACCTAGATCGTTCTGAGCCCATGGTTTATTTCACTAAACTCAACAAATTGGACTATACCTGGTCTCACCGATTTGCCGTGGATGAGAATTTCTTGCCGGAAAATTCAAATGCCAAAAATTCCCTAGCAGAAAAGAGCTACTACGCCAGCTTGCCCATTGTGGGAATGACCTGCCCCGCACCCCGTAACGGCGACTACGCTGTTATCCCCTGTGGCAAACGTATCGTCCCACCCGACGGCAACGCGGCTAGAGGATTTGATGATTTGAAACTATATATCCAAATATATATGTATCATCTTAAGACTAAGACTTACCTGCGCCGAGTCCTAGACTTGGACTTGGGCAGCATATATTACATACTGCAGTGACTGTTCATGACCACGGCGTGTATACGCGTATTGGGCCGGTGCCAGTCGTCCGTTTTGGGCGATTCCCATACCCAAGTTCCGGTGGGCCCCGCAAGAAGCCCCGCAAGAAACCCAACTTGGTATGGAAATCATCACCTTGATGCCGCCAGGGCACCGAGCTGACGAGTCCTTGACGGCCTTTAACGATATTGGTCAGTACAAGACGGTCAAGGAAAATACCAGGGATGAAATCCAAATTTTTGCTAACGTATACGGGTCTGCGTATTACGGCTGGTTCGGCGGCAACTACCTGTCGGAACTACCCAAGGGAGAGGTTGAAAAATTGAGCGAGCATTACAGTCCCATGCATGTAAAGGGTCGGGGTATGCGACTGGGCGACAACAACCACCGCCTGGTTAACGTCGAAACGTCCAACAAGGTATGACTCAAGCCAAAATGTAAGTAAATTGAAACATACGGGACATGCCATCTTGGGTACTGGGTAGGCTACACGACGAGCCTCTAATATGGTTATAGACAGCGACGTTGATGAGGATATTGGCATGACCGATATGAGTAACCTTTTTACTCGGTGAATAAGATATTATTATTATCGTTATTGTTTATTGTTTTACAGTGAGTGGGGGGGTTTTCGGGTTATATACTATATAGGCGCATGTAAATAAATAAATAAAACGAAATCCTAAGAATTTTAATAAAGAATGATTCAATCAATACATAATCCGAACCATTTAAGATTATATAATTCACATCTCAAATCACTACAAAGCGAACACATCGACTTCATATCATATCATATCATATCATATCATTCCATATCATATCATATCATATCATATCATATCATATCATATCATATCATATCATATCATATCATATCATATCATATCATATCATATCATATCATATCATATCATATCATATCATATCATATCATATCATATCATATCATATCATATCATATCATATCATATCATATCATATCATATCATATCATATCA